CTGGTGGTGTGGTCAGTATCTGGTGGTGTGGTCAGTATCTAGTGGTGTGGTCAGTATCTAATGGTGTAGTCAGTATCTGGTGATGTGGTCAGTATCAAATCCACAGCCTTTACGTCTCATATTATTTCGTCGTCTACGTGTGGCTTCCTGATCTGGACGTTCAAGTCTGTTTAGAAGAAATCTCCGATACGATGGGAATTTGTTAGAAGTCTCTTTGATCTTGAGGCATCTGTACCGACTGGGGCCGCTGTGGTTTCGCGGTTAGACGCCCACCTGGGGATCCAAATGTCGCGTGTTCAGGCCCTCATTTAGCCGGACTTCAAATAGACATTTCCTCCCAGGTCAACCCAAATAGAATGATAGCTTCCGGTCCAATATGCGGATAGACGGTCTGGCTGAAAAAGCCTGGCATGTTATTGCTTCTTACCACTGCTTCCTGTTGCACACCCTACCCCAATAAAACCTCGACTGAAGCTGCTCCACATGTGTTGACACTATGGCCTTTCTGTAACTTAAGGTGTTGAGAACGGAGTTTCATAATTCCACACACACCACAGTTTTGACGTCAGCAACAGGCGATATATCAGCATACCATTTTTCGTTTATTTGCATAACTATTTGAGCGTCGTAACTTTTAGAAAACAATGACAAACTAATCAAAGATAGGGAGCCGGGTGAAGGGACAAAACAGTCAATGGGTTCTGCGGTTGATCTTGCATGGGATATCCAAATAACTTTATTGACAAGTTAAACTACGCTACAGGTGCTTTTTTTTTTTTTTTATTAGTTTAAAGAAAGTTTCAGGTAGAACGACAATGTTTCTTTACAAAAAAATGCTGCCGGTACTTACCACAAGCTGCCTATTACAATGGTGCTGACAATTTATGACTTAAAAGAAGTGCCGGCACTGTGTTGCTTTTGGAGCCGCCGTGGTGTAGTGGCTAGACGCTCGCCTACGGATCGGAAGGTCGTGGGTTCGTGTCCTCGTGGAGCCGGACATTTTTCAAAAATGACATTGGCTCCCAGGTTGACCCAGCTTTGAAGGGATACCAGGAAAAGTCCCAGGAGGTAAAGGCGACTGGTGATACTTACCTATCACTCCAGTGCCGATTGGTCAAACAAATATACATCTAGCCCTATATGTAGGCCACTTCTGAATGTGCGGAAAAAGCTCCACTGCTGTCTTTACTTGATTGGCACCTTTCCCTCTTTCCAAACGATAGTGTTATATTGCAATATAAGGAGGCTTGGGGCTCACAGCCCATGGCGATGGCGAGTGTGACTAGCAAGACCCGCCCGCGTTAAGAAAAATCTTTTAAAATTATAGCATAAGATTTCAGAACCGTTGTTGTCAACATTTCTGTTTAGTCTGGTTCTTCTAAGACGCCCAGCTCTCATCCTTTCTGCAATCATTTATACCTTCATTTGCATTCCCTTCCTAATGTGTCTCCTCCACACCACACGATCCAATGCCCTGTTGTCTTTGTTTGCCTCTTCCCAGACTGGCCACATATTTTCGCTGGTAACAAGGCTAATGTAGACTGAAGCTGTGCTAACAACCTAATGTGTTTTCTAAAATAACTGGATTGTAACTGGTTTCCTTGTGTGTCTCGTGTGTGGCCAGCCCCTTGCATGTGGTCATCCTGCCCAATGTTCTTCGCCTGGAGACCGAGGAGACGGTGACGCTGACTCCTCTGGAGGTGGAACACAGTGTGGTGTACAAGATCTACCTGCAGGACTACCCGGCTAGACAGACGACCTTCTCGGAGACACACGTCACCGTGCCGCCAGGTGAGCAGTGGTTGGCCTGTTGGTTCCGTTATCGTGCATTTGTATCACAATAACCACGCCTCCACAGTCGTCAATAGTATCCCATCAATGTTATCATCAATGTTATCATCAATGTTATCATCAATGTTACGGAATCATCACTATCAATATAAACACATATCCGTCATAATTAACATAATATCATTGTCATCTATTCATCCACCCAAACATCCATCTATCTATCTATCTATCTATCTATCTATCTATCTATCTATCTATCTATCTATCTATCTATCTATCTATCTATCTATCTATCTATCTATCTATCTATCTATCTATCTATCTATCTATCTATCTATCTATCTATCTATCTATCTATCTATCTATCTATCTGTCTGTCTGTCTGTCTGTCTGTCTGTCTGTCTGTCTGTCTGTCTGTCTGTCTGTCTGTCTGTCTGTCTGTCTGTCTGTCTGTCTGTCTGTCTGTCTATCTATCTATCTATCTATCTATCTATCTATCTATCTAATCTATCTATCTATCTGTCTGTCGGTCCGTAAGTCGGTCCGTCTGTCTGTCTATCTGCCTGTCTGTCAGTCCGTCGTCCCCGTCTGTCTGCTTCTCTGTTCGCTCATTTCGTCTGCACGACCGTCGTGTATTTACTTCATCCCTACCCCCCCCCCCTCCCCACATTGTAACTACACCATTTGACTTGCTACAGGCGAGGTCGGGATGGCTAAGGTGGCGGTAGGTGTCTCCGACATCAAAGAGCGGACAGCCACGTCCACCTTCGTCTACCTGGTGGTGGAAACCGTGGGACACAAGCCCTACTTCCAGAAGGAGGCCCAGCTGTTGGTCAACGAGAGCCCCGGTTACATCTTCATCCAGACAGACAAGCCCATCTACACACCGGATCAAGCAGGTACTGAGGCTCGCTATTTGTGTTTCCATACACCTTTCACATTTATTTGTCCAAAAGGGTCTTTTATATGACAAATTTATTTGTCCAAAAGAGTCTTTTATATTTCACATTTATTTGTCCAAAAGAGTCTTTTATATTTCACATTTATTTGTCCAAAATGGTCTTTTATTTGACAAATTTATTTGTCCAAAAGAGTCTTTTATATTTCACATTTATTTGTCCAAAAGAGTCTTTTTATTTCACATTTATTATCCCAAAAGAGTCTTTTATATTTCACATTTATTTGTCCAAAAGGGTCTTTTATTTTACAAATTTATTTGTCCAAAAGAGTCTTTTATATTTCACATTTATTTGTCCAAAAGAGTCTTTTATATTTCACATTTATTAGTCCAAAAGAGTCTTTTATATTTCACATTTATTTGTCCAAAAGAGTCTTTTATATTTCACATTTATTTGTCCAAAAGAGTCTTTTATATTTCACATTTATTTGTCCAAAAGAGTCTTTTATATTTCACATTTATTTGTCCAAAAGAGTCTTTTATATTTCACATTTATTTGTCCAAAAGAGTCTTTTATATTTCACATTTATTTGTCCAAAAGAGTCTTATATATTTCACATTTATTTGTCCAAAAGGGTCTTTTATGTGACAAATTTATTTGTCCAAAAGAGTCTTTTATATTTCACATTTATTTGTCCAAAAGGGTGTTTTAAATGACATATTTATTTGTCCAAAAGGGTCTCTTATATTTCATATTTATTAGTCCAAAAGGGTTGTTTACTTTTCATATTTGTTTGTCCAAAAGAGTCCTTTACTTTTCATATTTCTTTCTTTCAGTTCTTGTCATTTCTAGTCTCTTCACAACCTCCGTATTTCATCACGGAAATGAACTACCAATACATCTTCAAACGAACTGTCTCTTTGGCCCACAATTCGATCCAAGGGGACGAGCCGACAGTCTTTCCGAGCATGCTGACGAGTTCCCTGGGCGTTAAGTGTACTATCTGGGTATTGATTGCCCCACATCACTGTGGCAGGAAGACTAAGGGGTGGACTTTAGTCTCTGTCGCCTGTACATTCACTGTCGTGCTTTATCACAGCAAAAACCTTGGTCGACCCTTTCTCAAATACCAGTCCATGGACGGAAGTTCCTTTCTTTATTTTACTCCATCTCGGTGACTTCCTGGGGAGTACCCGGGAAAGTTCAATAATATAAGGGCGTTAGAGAAGGAGATAGAAACATTCGCATTATAACTGCTCACCTGGCATATCAATGCTCCCAGTCAATATGCGAGAACTCGTCGCCATTATGTGTTTTATCTGCTGCAGACGAGGACAGACTATGAAAAACATGTCCACTCCAGACTATTCAAGGAAATAACTATGTGATTACATAATTCAGCAGTGCCATAATGGCAGTAATTATTCACAGAGTGTGGTGGTTGAGGTGCTGCCCTGTATCTGCCCCTACTACCCAATTAACTTCTATGTTGTTCTTTGTCGTGTTTTCTTGGTTGACTCTCCAGTGTACACCAGAGTGATGACTCTCAATGAACACTTCCGCCCAGTCAGCTGGCCTGTGCAGTTGGATATTCAGGTTAGTAGGTCGACGTGTGTGTGTGTATGTGTGTGTGTGTGTGTGTGTGTGTGTGTGTGTTGTGTGTCTGCATCGATTTATCAAATTTAGTGTCCGCCGACGTCTTCATAAACGTGTCAGACTTTTCCCTATGACCACACAACATGAAACTCAGTAGCGAAGTTCCACGTTTGATTTCATAATCATACGTGCTGTAAATATTATTTTGTAGAAACTGTTTTGTTCTCATTGTGAATGTTTGCCAGAGCAGCGTCTTGTCAGACCTGCTCTGCGTTACTCTCGACCAAAGAGGGTTGCTCTATCCTGCAATAATTGCACATCAGTCTCCTTCGTTTGCTTGTGACTGTTGGATATATTTGACTCAAGTTGGCTATCTCTGACCCATCTACACGTGGTTAGGTTTCTTCTAAAAGTTTACCAGAGCTGTGGCCGCGTGGCCTACTGTTTCATATTTCAACTGCTATTGGACTTCTAACATACAGAACTCTGACACAATCTGACGTCCGTTTTTGATCAGCAAGCTGTCCGATCTCGTTACCCAGGCAACCAGCCGAAAGTGATATCACTGCAGACCGATCGTCCTGATAATAAAAATCCATGCCTATATAAGGATTCGAACATGGTAACTCGCAAGGCTGTCATAGTAACTATCCGCTACACCTGACTGAAAGAACTGAAAGTACACTACCAGACCGTAGTATGGCCAGCTGCGCACAAACACCCACACACGTGAGCTCTTGAACTAGAAAGTCACGTTCATTGCCCGACACTTGGGTGTAATGATCCAACACTCGACTAACACACAGACGAGTTTTCAATGGGATGTGATGACTCGGCGACGGGCTTTGACCTGAATGTCCCAGTTCTGACAATTAGAGTGTCCCCCTGACGTAAAGACAGACATAATCGCACTAGACTTTTAGAGAAAAGAATGGATGAGAAATCGCAATGTTCGTCTAGATCCCAGAGACTTCGTTGTTCAAATCCTATTGCGGGTTCTCACTACTAACATAGACAACTTGTCTGCAGCGCGTATTCAGTGTTTTGTCGTGTCTTTTCAAGTGAACACATTTCTGATCCTATCTTGCACCTCCTGTACATATTGCTGCGGAGTATGTTGGTCCACTTCATAACCTACATACTTTGGTCGGTTTTTTTCGTGTGGGGTGGTTCATTGTGTCTTCGAGATGTGCTTCGTGTGAGAGGTGTTCCTGTATGTTTAAACAGCTGCCTCAATCTTTTTTTTATTGTCATGATAAGTGCATCCTGTATTGCTCCCAGTTGTTGGCAAGTAGTCAGCTCTTTCATTTCTCCTAAAGTCGCAGTGACCTGGGATCCACCAGAACACATTCTACTTGGTCAGCTGACCCATTTGACTTACAAGAGATATAGGCTTTCTGAACGTTTGTTGCTTATCGTTGTTTGCATTGACTGCAACACTGAACGAGCATCCACCAGTGCACCCACTTCTGCCTCAGATGTGCTTTCACTGAGTAATGTGTACCCCCCTTCCCTCAGTGACAAAACTGTCGATCGACAGGAAGGTAGAAAGTCAGTGCTAGCGGCATATGTCGACAGAGCTAGAACATCTTAGTGACGCAGAAGAATCATCATTTTGTCGCTCTAAATCACAACTTGTGTAAAAGAAATGGTCTCTCTCGCCACCTCTCCCGACTCGTGCACTTCCTGTTTCACTATCATATGCCCATCTTCCTGTTAGTCAGCCTCTCCCTCTTGTTTCTTGGTACCATGCCTTCTTCCATTTTTCTTGTCAACTCGCCGTGGCCCTTATCAGGAATACATAGGGTATATGTTCATATGGGAACATGGTCGTCTTCATCGCATAGTTAAACACTGGATGATTTGTAGGTGAATTCTTGTTCTTTAAACAAACGTAATTAGTTAAGTGGTTTACTTGATACTTGTTCTAATTCATTAATGTTTACGGCCACGCTCACACGTCAACTCTTACTGAGCGTAAAGTGTCAGGTCTGCCATGTCAACGTTCTGCCTGTCTAAAGCTCAAGATAACTGTACTCGGCGCCTTCTCAACTTCACTCACACATTATTTGTTTGCGTATTTCTTTGTAAGGAGCTACCTTCCGCTCACCAAAACCTCGCTGCCAATGTCCATAGATGAGAGCGCCAGATGCGCAACTATGCACGAGCATTGCGCTAAAGAAGGTTCACATGGGTCTACAGGACGTCATCGAATCTCTCCTCCAAACAATCCAGTCTGCCGAGGAACGTGAAATGCAAACCAAGGAGTGGCCTACAGACGAGACTGTAATTTACAAGCTATACTCCTCACACTGGCCCTTGATGGTATTGTAAAGTGCGTTCTCACTTGACGTAAACAGCATCCGCTTGTGACCCGTATCCGCTAGTTCTCGTCAGTCTGGCAATAACATTTATGCTAAGAAATGTAAATGATGCAATAATGGCATTGGACAAACCGGTAGGAAGCCGGATGATAGTTTTCGTGAACATCTTACGGATATTTAGAAGGAGGCACCTAAACCAGGTTTCCTCCGTTTATTTGTTCTGACTAAAGAGGCGAAACTAGCATCTCTATCACTGCTATAAAATATTGCTTTTGGGATCAGACCCACGTTTTTCTTTTCGGAAACTTACCTCATGCATAATTTTAGTTTAGGCGCTCTGGCCACAGCAAGAATACATTTTCGTCATACTTTCACATAACTATTATTACCCCCCCCCCCAAACCCCCTTTTGCCCCCCCCCCCCCCCCAACGTTTTAAGAACTATTTATTTATCTTTCCATTTTGGTTACACATTTTGTTGTGTTTCGTTTCCCAACGGTTCTTCCGGATGCTGACTTTTAAAATGTCCTTTATATTGTGTCTTTCTCTACGCGACTCCCCAATTGGATGCTGAGGCATAGATATTTCCTTCTTCTTTAGCCATTGAAAAAGACTTGGATCATAACATTTAGCTGTACCAGTAAGAGTCTTTTTTTTCCCTTTCCTCTACTCCAATCCAACCCCCACCCCCCACCACTTTTTTTTTTTTTTTGGTCCTTTGTGCTTCCTACTCAGTTTTTTGTGGTTAGTGAATTGATTTCTTAATATGAGCTCGCTTGCTTCTTTTTTTTTTTTTCCTCTTTTACCAAGTTCAAGTTTCAAGGGAATCTGCTCGACTGCCAACGCCCTTATTTTGAGACGTTAAAAAACATTAGACTGTTAGAATGAATGATAACTAAGCGTGGGTCTGTTGTGGATCTCACCAATGTGACTAGTTACATTTGATCTTATGTGTGGGGAGATCTGACCAACCACTTCTGACCGATCCCCAGAACCCTGACGGGATGACCATCAGTCGCAAGGTTATCGACAGCACAAACATGCTGGCTAATGACATCATCAAAATCCCAGAAAACCCCGTGTATGGCAACTGGACTGTGACAGCAAAGTTCACCAACGGGGTCAGTTATGTGTGTCCGTCAGTGTGTTTGCTTGATTCCTTATGTGTTTGTGTGTGTTTATATACACTTCCGTGTGTCCTATTTGCATGTACATATCTGTATACGTTTCTTTGTAATGTATGCACATGTGAATGTGTGTAATCTTGATAATATTAGTTTCAGATTCATAGCAAACGGGTCACCTCATAGTTGCTCCGCTCCTGTGCCAACGAAAAACACACAAAATGTTTATCACAGTCCCTTGTGGAGAGATTGAAGGACTGATGTCTCAGCATATGCACTAGCAGACACACGCATTAAATGCATACGTTAGCCATCAGAAGTGCTAACACAAACAGTCCTACATTAGAAATATAGTTCATCGTCGACGGTAGCCGAAACTACCAATCGATCAGCAGTTACACAGCGATCAATTTTAATCGCACAAGGGCACCACCAATATTGCGACGACAGGCCACGTGCCATTTTCTGCATCTCAACATTGGTCACAGTCGAAAAACATTCCAAATTAAATCCGCAGCTCACAGCGTCGCGCCATGCACTCAACACAGTAGCTGGGCGATGAAACTATATCCTTCCAGTCTTCAAATGGAGAAAAAATGCAATGGCCACCGTCTGGCAGAAGCAAACTGTTTGCCACAACTCAAATCAGTGACCTTGCCTAGCGTCCATTTGTGAGTGTGTGTGAATGTATATATATATATATATATATATATATATATATATATATATATATATATATATATATATATATATGTGTGTGTATATATATATATATATATATATATATATATATATATATATATATATATATAAATTTCCATGTCTGTATTTAAATGTTATGATTTATGTTACAATCGTCCCAAGACAATTTTATTTACATGCGAGTCTTTCCGGCGTGGCCAAATTGGCAGAGACGTTCCGCTATGGATCTGCTATTTGAGAAATCACATAATGATGATGATAGACAGTTGTGGCGTTTTCTGGTGCACGCTAGTAAGTAGTGGGTGGTCGAGGTTCTAAACTTCCTGCCAATCCTTCACCGCAAAGTCACCCCATTCCTGTGCCAGGGAAAATCGCTTGAAGTAGCTCTTACTGCCCTTTTCAAAATTAAAGTGTTGAAATTTGTCTTTACGTTTAGGCCGCTGCTTGTTTGTTTTCATGCTTGGTTGTTGCTCTTTTACGTACTTGTTAATGTGTGCATGTGTGTGAGATGGCGTGTGTGAGCTTGTGTGTGTGTGCGTGCCTGCGTGAGCGCGCGTATCTGTGTGTGTGTGTGTGCGTGCGTGAGCGCGCGTGTCTGTGTGTGTGTTAAAGTAGTAAAATCGGGTTCTGTATATGCAATGTTTGGTTCTACCACAGACACACAGACACACACACACACACACATACGTATCTGAATCAGCAAAAATGGAGCAGCGAGTGCTTCCGAATGTTGTTGCAAGTTCCATCAGAGTGGTTTCTCTACTAGCGAGCCAAATGTCTTACACGTTGCAAGTTCCATCAGAGTGGTTTCTCTACTAGCGAGCCAAATGTCTTACACGTTGCAAGTTCCATCAGAGTGGTTTCTCTACTAGCGAGCCAAATGTCTTACACGTTGCAAGTTCCATCAGAGTGGTTTCTCTACTAGCGAGCCAAATGTCTTACACGTTGCAAGTTCCATCAGAGTGGTTTCTCTACTAGCGAGCCAAATGTCTTACACGTTGCAAGTTCCATCAGAGTGGTTTCTCTACTAGCGAGCCAAATGTCTTACACGTTGCAAGTTCCATCAGAGTGGTTTCTCTACTAGCGAGCCAAATGTCTTACACGTTGCAAGTTCCATCAGAGTGGTTTCTCTACTAGCGAGCCAAATGTCTTACACGTTGCAAGTACTGAATTTGAGAATTTAGGGTGAGGAAAATAAAAACTGACTGCAAATGTGAATGGAAGAGCATTGGCTCTGAGTGAAAGAGGAGGGCATGAGGTCCGTGGAATTACGAGATCAGATGACATCAACGCCAGTCTTTTGACCGGTTAAGCTGACGACAACGTCCACGATGATAACGGTGACGTTGTTGATAATTACGACAACGATTAATTATTGTGAGGATGTTGCAGATGATAAGGATGATGATGTTTATGAATATGACAACGACAATGGATGATAATTTGATGACGGTGACTTGCTCAAGGACTTGGATTTAAGTGAGGAAGAGTTGCGTAGTTCGTCGACCTCCGTCTATCGCTTGCGTCCACCTTGATCCAATGGCAGGACAAGGTCAAGACGATTGAAAATGGACTTAGGTACAGTGGATGACCCAGGCCTCTTTAGTGTGCTGCCTTGCTCGAAGCTCTCCACAGAGCCTGCTGGTAAATGCCTTCTTGTCGGCTGAAACATAAGAGGTTTTATTTGCATCATCCGCCGAGTCCAGGCTTTGCATGCAGGGTAGGCATATTCCAATCACCGAGTGGTTTAGAACCAGGTCGGCTACCCTATCCTAGTTTATCCAGCCCGTCAAAACTGTTTCCCTAGGGGGGGGGGGCGCTATCGCAATCTGACAGCTGCCTGGAGCCACAGGAGAGAGCTGAGTGCCGGATCTAGCCCAGTGGTGGTGAACTGCCCTAAGAACGACATGTCAGTCACCTTGCCAGAGGTACAACTAGTATCTGACACACTAGACCCCCAAGTTAGAATCATCAGCTGCGTTGGGCTGGTCACCTAGCCCGCATGCCAGAATATCGCCTCTCAAAGAGAGTATTTTATGGCGAGCTCCAGTAAGAGAAGAGGTCACAGGGAGGACGAAAAAGCGCTATAAGGACTCTCTCAAAACTGCTCTCAATTCTTTTGGCATCAACACAGCGACGTGGAAGACTGCTGCAAAAGACCGTTCCTGGATAGCGTACGTCCCTCAGGTATGGTGCGTCGGCCTGCTAGGCAGCGGCGGTTGCACAGGCAGAGAAACGAAGGAAGACTAGATAAAACCGTATCTCTAATCACATACCTACTGCGGCTTTAATCTGTTGTCTGCACTGTTCAAGAACTTTCCAAGCTCCTATTGGACTAAATCAGCCACTTTCATCCACATAATCATTGTTCATTGCTACTTTGAATTAAAAGTGGCCTTCTTCTCTCGTGATGGACAACACGGCAACGACAATGATACAAATAATTATGATCATAATGATGGTGATTGTAATGATGATGATAACTACAGCAACACAGTCCTTCAAAGTTCATTTTGCCCTTAGAATTTCTGTTTCAGGAACATACAATTATTAATGAGCAGATTATCCACATGTAGCTCAAACATAAACTTAACAGATCAGCAAACAGAGATGGCCAAATGTTTGCAGCCGATAAGGATAACATTGTTTACGTTGTAAATCTCCTGTGCCTTTCCGTACAAGACACGAACAAGTTGTCGAACATAGAGACTTTTAGCGGGCAAGAGCAACTGCTAGTTCTGGTGGTGACAACTATAGGAATTAGTGCTGTCAGATTGTGAAGTTTTTGTCGAATTTATTTTAATTGGGGTTATAATCTCTCTCTCTCTCTCTCTCTCTCTCTCTCTCTCTCTCTCTCTCTCTCTCTTCGTCTCTCTATCTCTCTCTCTCCGTCTCTATCTCTCCGTCTCTCTCTCTATCAATCTCCATCTCTTTCTCTCTGTCTCTCTCTTGCACGCTCGCTCTCTAATATCTATCTATCTATCTATCTATCTATCTATCTATCTATCTATCTATCTATCTATCCATCCATCCATCCATCCATCTATCTATCTATCTATCTATCTGTCTGTCTGTCTGTCTGTCTGTCTGTCTGTCTGTCTGTCTGTCTGTCTGTCTGTCTGTCTGTCTCTCTGTCTCTCTGTCCGTCCGTCAGTCTGTCTGTCTGTCCACCCACCCACCCACCTGTCTGCCTGGCTGGTTGTCTGTCTGTCCGTCCGCCTGTCTGTCTAACCCTCCCTCGTCTCTCTCTCTCTCGCTGACTGATCCCTCTCCACTCTCTTGATGCGTTGGCTTCAGTGTTGAGGCAGCAACTGGATGCCTCTTCTTCTGGTCAGTAAGGTCTTGGATCCGATGGCATCCAGTCTGTGACGTTGCAATAGTGCAAGACACCCCAGGCGTTCCATAGCTCCACACTCTTTGTCAAACGTGCACTGTCACGCCCGCTGTGTGATTGCTTGTGTTAAGTGTTTCACTCATTTCAAACGTATGCATAGTCTCGTTCTTACTCTCTAACCATCACGACTAAACCCTGTATTATCATGTCTCGTTCTTACTCTCTAACCATCACGACTAAACCCTGTATTATCATGTCTCGTTCTTACTCTCTAACCATCACGACTAAACCCTGTATTATCATGTCTCGTTCTTACTCTTTAACCATCACGACTAAACCCTGTATTATCATGTCTCGTTCTTACTCTCTAACCATCACGACTAAACCCTGTATTATCATGTCTCGTTCTTACTCTCTAACCATCACGACTAAACCCTGTATTATCATGTCTCGTTCTTACTCTCTAACCATTACGACTAAACCTTGTATTATCATGTCTCGTTCTTACTCTCTAACCATTACGACTAAACCTTGTATTATCATGTCTCGTTCTTACTCTCTAACCATCACGACTAAACCTTGTATTATCATGTCTCGTTTACTCTCTACCTCTCTAACCATCACGACTACTCTCTAACCATCACGACTAAACCCTGTATTATCATGTCTCGTTCTTACTCTCTAACCATTACGACTAAACCCTGTATTATCATGTCTCAGCAGCTAGCTAGTTTAAAAAAAAATCAAGACATTTTATATTTTACTTCATCCGTAGTCTACAACGTATATTAATAAACTGTATTATCATGTCTTTTTATTCTAACGTGTCTCGTGTGACTCTCTAACCATCGACTAAACCCTATGTATTATCTATGGGTCGTCTCTGGTACCAGTTTGTAATTTTACTAAACCTTGTATTATCATAATGTTATTACTCTCTTCACGACTGAAAACAACGGCATCTGTCAGATGTCTCGTTCTTAAGTCACACGACTAAATGTATTATCAGTCTCGTTCTTACCATTTGTCATAATTGTCCATTTTGTGTTCTAATCTGTTTATTTATATTGTAAAAGTTGATATGCAGATTTATTCAAAAGCTGACGAAAATCTTGCATCATGTGCACCTATTTGATTTTTTTTTTTTTTTTCAGTTTCCGTCAGGGAATTCTGTAGTCTACAATAGAAAAGTCTTCTCATGATTTCACCAAAGAACACCGTCTCGTATAGTAATGAGATTCTAGTCTTCTCATGACTAGGCCAAAGAACACCGTCTCACATAGTAATGAGATTCTAGTATTCTCATGACCTGGCCAAAGAACACCGTCTCATATAGTAATGAGATTCTAGTCTTCTCATGACCTGGCCAAAGAACACCGTCTCATATAGTGGTGAGATTCTAGTCTTCTCATGACCTGGCCAAAGAACACTGTCTCGTATAGTTATTTATTATTATTATTGTATTTCTCAGCTGAAAACCTGGCCCGTCAGAGAACACGAGTATGGTAAGCTGTGTTACCATTTGTCATAATTGTCCATTTTGTGTTCTGATCTGTTTATTTATATAGTAAAAGTTTATATGCAAATGTATTAAAAAGTTCACGAACATTTGTCATCATGTATATTTGTAGTTTCCGTCAGAGATTCTAGTCTACAATAGAATAGTCTTCTCATGATTTCACAAAAGAACACCGTCTCGTATAGTGGTGAGATTCTAGTCTTCTCATGACCTGGCCAAAGAACACTGTCTCGTATAGTAATGAGATTCTAGTATTCTCATGATTTGGCCAAAGAACACCGTCTCATATAGTAATGAGATTCTAGTATTCTCATGACCTGGCCAAAGAACACCGTCTCATATAGTACTGAGTTTTTAGTCTAGTCTTCTCATGACTTGGCTAAAAAAACGCCGTTTGACTAAAGTCAAACCGTGCATACGACACTAGACGTGTATTTTTTTGGATGATAAAGTCAAAATAACACCAGCCGTCTTTACTTCCCAGGATTTTACCTGGTACCTGTTTTAGGCTAGATCGTTATAGGACCCAAGGTCATTTCTGACAAAATGAATCTGATTGGATGTGGATTCAAAATTATGACTTTCTGGGCGACAGGCCGAGAGGCTAGCCGCTTTTCCACTGTGGATGGCAAAAGGGTCGCACAACCATAGTTCGGTTCTTTCTCCCTCTCTCTGTGAGTCTACCTCTCTGTCTAAATCTCTCTCTCTCTCTTACATCTTTCAACCACCTCTCTCTAATATCTATCTATCTATCTATCTATCTATCTATCTATCTATCTATCTATCTATCTATCTATCTATCTATCTATCTATCTATCTATCTATCTATCTATCTATCTATCTATCTATCTATCTATCTATCTATCTATCTATCTATCTATCTATCTATCTATCTATCTATCTATCTATCTATCTATCTATCTATCTATCTATCTATCTATCTATCTATCTATCTATCTATCTATCTATCTATCTATCTATCTATCTATCTATCTATCTATCTATCTATCTATCTATCTATCTATCTATCTATCTATCTATCTATCTATCTATCTATCTATCTATCTATCTATCTATCTATCTATCTATCTATCTATCTATCTATCTATATCTATCTATCTATCTATCCATCCATCCATCCATCCATCCATCCATCCATCCATCCATCCATCCATCCATCCGTTTCTTTCCTTCCCATCCATCCATCCATCCATCCATCCATCCATCCATCCATCCATCCATCCATCCATCCATCCATCCATCCATCCATCCATCCATCCATCTATCTAATCTGTCTGTCTGTCTGTCTGTCTGTCTGTCTGTCTGTCTGTCTGTCTGTCTGTCTGTCTGTCTGTCTGTCTGTCTATCTATCTATCTATCTATTTATCTGTCTGTCTGTCTGTCTTTCTGTCTGTCTGTCTGTCGGTCGGCCAGTCTGTGTTAAAAACCTACCTAGTGGAAACTGATTATAGCTGAAGTGATCTTAACTGTCTTTCTTTTAACTCTTATCCATTGTAGTTCAATGAAGTTTTCCCCCTTTGCACTAAACATTTCGTCCTTTGATTACTTTTCTTCCTTTGCTGTAAACACACACAAATTAACATCCTTACTTTTTGACATCCCTGAAACGCCAACAGTTTTAAGTGATCATGTTTTTGATGTTCTTCTTCTGCTTCTCTTTTTCTTTCCTTTAGTGTTGCCAGTATTTTCAGTGAGTTTTCACATTCCAGAGGAGAAGAAGGTGGTTTTACTGAGCCAGACGCTCTTCAATCTAGCCATCGGTGCAAAGTGAGTACAGTAAGCTCATCCTTGAAGGTGTAATCATTGTCCATCTTTGTGTTCAGTCATCCAATCAGCACATGTGTTATCTCTGTATCTTTGAGTACAGTAATCCAATCATCACCTGTGTTATCTCTGTCCATCTTTGAGTACAGTAATCAAATCATCACGTGTGTTATCTCTGTCCATCTTTGTGTACAGTAATCCAATCATCACATGTGTTATCTCTGTCTATCTTTGTGTACAGTAATCCAATCATCACATTTGTTATCTCTGTCCATCTTTGTGTACAGTAATCTAATCATCACATTTGTTATCTCTGTAAATCTTTGTGGACAGTAATCCAATCATCACATGTGTTATCTCTGTCCATCTTTGAGTACAGTAGTCCAATCATCACATGTGTTATCTCTGTCCAACTTTGAGTAAAGTAATCCAATCATCACGTGTGTTACCTATGTCCATCTTTGAGTACAGTAATCCAATCATCACATGTGTTATCTCTGTCCATCTTTGTGTACAGTAATCCAATCATCACATTTGTTATCTCTGTCCATCTTTGTGTTCAGTAATCCAATCATCACATGTGTTATCTCTGTCCATCTTTGTGTACAGTATTCCAATTATCACATGTGTTATCTCTGTCCATCTTTGTTAACAGTAATCAAATCATCACATGTGTTATCTCTGTCTATCTTTGTGTACAGTGATCCAATCATCACATGTGTTATCTCTGTCCATCTTTGTGTACAGTAATCCAATCATCACATGTGGTATCCCTGTCTATCTTTGCGTACAGTAATCCAGTCATCACATGTGTTATTTCTGTCCATCTTTGAGTACAGTAATCCAATCATCTCATGTGTTATCTCTGCCTATCTTTGTGTACAGTAATCCAATCATCACAGGTGTTATCTCTGTGCATCTTTAGGTAGAGTAATCCAATCACCACATGTGTTATCTCTGTCTATCTCTGTGTAAAGTAATCCAATCAGCACATGTGTTATCTCTGTCCATCTTTGTGTACAGTAATCCAATTATCACCTGTGTTATCACTGTCTAACTTTACGTACAGTAATCCAATCATCACATGTGTTATCTCTGTCCATCTTTGTGTACAGTAATCCGATCATCACATGTGTTATCTCTGTCCATCTTTGTGTACAGTAATCCGATCATCACATGTGTTATCTCTGTCCATCTTTGTGTACAGTAATCCGATCATCACATGTGTTATCTCTGTCCATCTTTGTGTACAGTAATCCGATCATCACATGTGTTATCTCTGTCCATCTTTGTGTACAGTAATCCGATCATCACATGTGTTATCTCTGTCCATCTTTGTGTACAGTAATCCGATCATCACATGTGTTATCTCTGTCTATCTTTGTGTATAGTAATCCGATTATCACATGTGTTATCTCTGTCCATCTTTGTTTGCCAATATGTCTGCCTGCATGCCTGAATGTGAAAGTATTTGTTTGTCTATCTGTCCGTCTATTTAGTACTTATATATCTAACTGTTTGTCAGTTTGTCTATCAGTCCGTCTATTTAGTACTTATATATCTAACTGTTTGTCAGTTTGTCTATCTGTCCGTCTATTTAGTACTTATATATCTAACTGTTTGTCAGTTTGTCTATCTGTCCGTCTATTTAGTACTTATATATCTAACTGTTTGTCAGTTTGTCTATCTGTCCGTCTATTTAGTACTTATATATCTAACTGTTTGTCAGTTTGTCTATCTGTCCGTCTGTCTAGTACTTGTATATCTAACTGTTTGTCAGTTTGTGTATCTGTTTGTCTGCCCACATTAAGGTATGTCTGTATGTCTGTCTGTTTCTCTTACTAGTGGATCGCCTACACAAGACACATTCTTAGAAAATACTCAAATTTATTATCAAATTAATTTAACATAGAAAGTCTCCTTGTATACACAAAACATAATGTCTGAACATTGGTAAAATGTTCTTGTCTAGTGTATAATTTAACTTTAAGAAAACAGAAATCAAGTCCACCTTCAAGCTGAAAGAATGATCACATTGCTATATGCAAGAATTTGTTTCAGGCAGAGTGAGACGATTAAAATATGGAATAGAACATGTAGCGATTAGAACTAGCAGCGAAACAATTCTATTAGCGAAACGAAAAGCAAACCACCGGGTGTTAACGTTGCTAAATTGAATATGAGCTGGTAAATGTGTGTGTGTGTGTGTGTGTGTGTGTGAAAGATAGATAGAGAGGGAGAGAGAGAGAGAGAGAGAGAGAGAGAGAGAGAGAGAGAGAGAGAGAGAGAGAGAGAGAGAGACCTGTCTAGTAGGCACACTAGCCTTAGAACATTGTGTGTTAAAGTGCTCTATGGAACATGTCATGTTGAATATGTGTGTGTGTAGGCGCGCGCCCGTGTGTGTGTATCACACCTGGCCAATAAGCACACAAGCCGTAGAAAGAACCTCTGATAATTCCAGTTTATAGATCGGCAGACAAAACAGCCCGTTAAACAACAACAACAAAATGAAGAAGAAATTGAAAATCTCACAAACTTGAATATCTAAGCGCATAATAAATACCAACGGAAACTGTGCAACAGAAACCAAAAGGTTGATGACCGTTGCAATACATAGATTAAACACCACGAAAAACCTATTGTTGAGCACCAGCCAGCAAGGAAGACGCTAGTGAAGCTTTTGAGGAGGAGATCGGAGCACCTATAGATCTGTCCGGAGTGCTGTGGTGATAATGCTTTCTAGTCACTAATCACACAATTTTGAAAAAAAAAAGTGTCGTTCCCGAAGGAGTGGTGATTACAAAGAAAACTGACCCTCCAGAAACATCAAAGTAAATGTAGAATAGCTCAAGCAAGTTGATGTTTATGTCCTTGGGTTCCCTGATAACATCAGATGGAAGATGTGTTAAAGAAGTTAAATGTCGAATAGCTCAAGCAAGTTGATGTTTATGTCCCTGGGTTCCCTGATAACATCAGATGGAAGATGTGTTAAAGAAGTTAAATGTCGAATAGCTCAAGCAAGTTGATGTTTATGTCCCTGGGTTCCCTGATAACATCAGATGGAAGATGTGTTAAAGAAGTTAAATGTCGAATAGCTCAAGCAAGTTGATGTTTATGTCCCTGGGTTCCCTGATAACATCAGATGGAAGATGTGTTAAAGAAGTTAAATGTCGAATAGCTCAAGCAAGTTGATGTTTATGTCCTTGGGTTCCCTGATAACATCAGATGGAAGATGTGTTAAAGAAGTTAAATGTCGAATAGCTCAAGCAAGTTGATGTTTATGTCCTTGGGTTCCCTGATAACATCAGATGGAAGATGTGTTAAAGAAGTTAAATGTCGAACAGCTCAAGCAAAAGCAGCATTTTACACAATGAAGAATATTTTATGCAATATTTCTTTGTCAATTGAGACGAGAAAGAGAATTCTCAAAGGCTATATAAATCCTATATTGATATACGGTAGTGAATCATGGACAGTTTGTAAACTAGTGAAAACTTATTTAGAGACTGCGGAGATGTGGTTTTGTAGCCGAATGGTGAGAATGCCCCGGACAGATTTTAAAAAAAAAAAACGAGAAATGAAGAAGTCTTGAAAGAAACTGGCTCACGAAAAGAACTGATTGCCTACATCAGAAAGAGACAATCTACATTCTGTGGTCATGTAATTAGAAGGGGAAAACTGGAGTACACCGTGACGGTAGGAAAGTTGGAGGCGAGAAGAGGCAGAGGGAGACAGAAAGAACAGATGCTGGACAGTCTGACATCATGGCATGGAGAATCCTCTGTGTCAGAGTTGGCTGAAAGTACACGAGACAGAAGGTTGTGGAGAGACATGACTACCAACGCCCCACGGCGTGGACTCTAGGAAGAGGAGGTGTCGTCCCTGTAGCAACATATGTCTGCGAGTCGTGAACTATCTGGCAATCATTTAGAAATAATATAGAAGCTTTTGTATTGAAATGCTATAGAAAGATTCTCAGAATACCACCAACCATGTGGAAAAGAAATACCTTTCTTCTTTTCTCTACTCCTGGAATGCCTCGCGGCGTCAGGGCAGGACGAGATCTCTGGAGCGGACACTTCTGTTCTCTACTCCTGGAATGCCTCGCGGCGTCAGGGCAGGACGAGATCTCTGGAGCGGACACTTCTGTTCTCTACTCCTGGAATGCCTCGCGGCGTCAGGGCAGGACGAGATCTCTGGAGCGGACACTTCTGTTCTCTACTCCTGGAATGCCTCGCGGCGTCAGGGCAGGACGAGATCTCTGGAGCGGACACTTCTGTTCTCTACTCCTGGAATGCCTCGCGGCGTCAGGGCAGGACGAGATCTCTGGAGCGGACACTTCTGTTCTCTACTCCTGGAATGCCTCGCGGCGTCAGGGCAGGACGAGATCTCTGGAGCGGACACTTCTGTTCGCTTCGTATGTAGTATTTTTCAGTGTCTCTAATTTTTCCGTAGTTCAGTTCTGCGTGGTCGACCTCTGGTCTGTTACCGCTGTATTTGAATAACATAGCCCCCCCCCCTCCCCCCGTGTGGTTCCAGGGCCCTATTGTGGGGAAAACAAGAATAGACCCACTGCCTCCCCAAAAGCTTGTCGTAAGAGTCGACTAACTGGGGAGCTTCCTTTGAAGTCGGAGTGCATCTGCCTGAGAGGCAAGGAACCAGCAGTCTACATTCAATTGAATCAGATCTGTAAAACTGATGCACACGCAACACTCAGGTTCTGGAGCAGGACTGCAGTCCAGAAGTGGACGAACAACCAGAACTTTACGCCAGAGTGTACAGCTGGTGAACGCGAAGAAGAAGAAGAAGAATAACATAGCTCTCTGTGGTGCCCTGTCTGACACCACTCTTGTTATATGACCAAACCATTTGGTTTGGTGTCTACCTATAACATTGGCTAGCAAACAGCATTTGGACTCAAAGACAAATATTTTGACCATATCAAGCGCTACGCCTATTGTAAAGAATAGAAGGTATGATGTCAGGAAAGAAGGGCAGGGGCC